GCAAAAGCTTCAGCACCTGCATGGGGAACCAGTCTCTGAGCAGCTCCAGCTGCTGCTCTTTAACACTCATTACACAAGCAATGAGGGTGGGCTATAAACCACCTCTTTAATACCCTCCCCTAGGTCTCCTGCCAGCTCCTGGTGTGAGAGCTGGGGGTGAGGAGGTGCAGTGGCTGCTGGCCCAGGGAGGGTTTGCAGCTCTGGTTTTGCCTGTTCCCCTCCTCCTTGCTGCTGCAGACTGATGGTGCAGCAGGGTGATATGTCACCTCTTCTTCCCTCCCTGTTGCCAGCTGGGGGGCTTTGGGTTGGATATGCTCCACCATGCGCGTGGGAGGCTGGCAAACGGGGCATGTCCCTCCTGCTTGGTGTGTCTCTGGGGGAGTGTTTAGGAGACCTGTGGGGCTTGGGGTGTTCAAGAGGCACATGGTTCTCCCGAAAAGCAGTTTTGGGGTGAGGCAGGTGCCCTGAGCAGCTGTTTCATGGCTTCTTGCAGTCAGCGGGGCACAGCATCGAGGCCAGAGCTGTTGGGTTGTTTCAAGGGACTCTGAAGGAGGTGAGTCCATGGGGCCAGAGATGAATGGGAGGGACACAAGGAACAGCAGGGAGCTGGAACAGCCTTGCTTAACATACTCCACACCTCCCTTTTATCCCCAGCAGTATCTCCTCTAGTGTCCTGTGCAGCTCAATGGATTGTAAATCCCCAAAGCTGGGGCTTACCACCAGGAGGAAAATGATGCCACACCATGTCTCTGTCCCTAGCCAGGACTTTGTCACCTTCTGTGTCATGTCAACCTCCCTGTACCACCAGGGCTGCCCTGCCTTGGCAGAGAGGGGAGCAGGGCAACTTGCAGGTGATGGGCGATGCCTGAGATGTTGTCAGTGTCCCAGCCATAAGCTGGATGTCCACACAGACCACTTGAAGGCAACAGCCGAGGCAGGAGAAGGGTCCCAGCTCAGCAATCCAACACCTTACTCCTTCCACCTTCTGATCTCCTTCCGTGTCAGTGAGCCCAGCACCAGCTTTTTGTTTGTTTTGGTTGTAGCCATCTCAGGGTCTTATGTAGCTGTTGGTGCAAAGAGAGCCGGGCAGAGGGGCTCCTCACTGCAATTTGCTGCTCAAGGGGAAGAGTCGCAGGGCTCCCCAACGGTTGCAGCAGTGCTGGTACCACAAGGGCTTGTTCAAAGACACTACTGGCATCTGCCGCCGGGCTGATGGATGGGCTTGGGAAGGATTCCCGGGCTGGCCGCCTTCCCTCTGCGGCATTTATTCTCCCAGCAAATCCAGTTTCACTGGGAGGTTGTCATAGATGTTCAGCTGGATAATGATCAGAGGGGATGGCCTGGCATAGATGGGGGTGGGGGAGGAGTTGTGGGTTTTTTTCCCCCTCCTCTGTTTGCAGCCAGGGCCGTGCAGAGATGGGCTGGGGGCTGGCCCGGAGGGGTTTCTGCAGGGCACAGCAGGAGGTGGAAGGGACAGTCAGTGCTCCGTGAGCGAAGCCCGGGATGGGAGAAGAGACAAGGTGTGAGTTGTTGCACTTTTCTGGCACTAAGTTGCTGCAACACCCCATGCCTTGGTTTCCCTCTTCCCTCTGGGGGGGTGACAGCACTTCCCTTGCTCCTGAAAGCTATGTTTGTCTTCAGCCCCACCTTGAGCTGGACACCGCTAAGGGATTTTATGTCTCCAGGGGTATTGCTGAATGAAGCCTGCAAATTTTGGGGGGGATTTTCACTCCCCAGCCCTCCCAGAGAACTGCCTGATGCTGGTTCTTGGCTTCTTCTTCCTCTGTCTTTCGCAGGAGCAGTGAAGGCATCCTCACTTCTCGCCTGGTTCGCTGTGCCCAAGCATCCCCCCTCTCCTCCTGGGCACCACCTCTGCCTCTGGTAACTGGAGGAGACAGGAAGATACTGGGTTTTCTAGGGAGTGTTGTTGAGAGCCCTCAGGAGTGCTGGAGCCATGAGCAGCACATGGACTGGTTCCTCCCCAGCAAGCCTTTGCCAGGCTCAAGGAGATCATCAAGAAGAAACCTGAGATTCCCGAGAACCCGCTCCACGTCAGATACAAATCCTTCCCGAGCTTAATTCCCCATGTGCCAAGACAAACGGCGCTCCTGGCACCAGCGCTGTGAATAAAGAGGAAAGACTAGAAAGACCCAGTGCTGCCCTGGCTCCTCTCCCCGTGGGGCTCTGCCACTCTCTCCCAGCAAAAGCTGGGATCCATGGAGTGGGGAAAGCCCAGGTATCGGTTGGAGCCCAGCCAGGGACGTTCACCGCCTTTGGGATTGTTTTGAAAAGCTGCTTCGCTTTCTAAAAATGAAAGGCATACTAGAGCAGCCAGCGTGGGGTGGGGTGAGGGCCGCTATGAGGTTGGGCTGGCATTGGGCACCCGGCCCCATCTCTAGGGTTTCCCTCAAGCCCAGGCTGCCCTCGGCAGCTGCGAACGTGAGGGAAATGAGGACAGGTGGGATGGGAGCATTCCTGGGCTCCCCAACACAGGGTTGAAGCTTGGCTTGGGGCAAGCTATGGGCATCGTTCTGGGCGCTGCTGTTCTCCCGTTGCTGGCAGCGCGCCGGGGTAGGCACCGCAGCCGAGGGTGCTGCCGCCACTCTGCGAACATCCCTGCCGGCTTCGCACCTGCCCCTGCCTGGACTTCCCCAGGCAGGGCTGGCAGAGGATCTGCTGCTGGGTGAATGCTGGCGGAGGCGGGCGAGGGGGAGAGAGCACTCGGTGGCGTGCCCCAACCTGCTTTAGCTGTGAGATCACTCTGTGTTCTCGTCTTTGAAAGAGTGATCTGAAGCCATGTGCGGCCCTGGGTGGCTCTTGACAGGTATGAGTGAGGGCGAGAGGCTGGGGACCGGAGCAGGCACTGATCCCCGGGGCTGTGCTTGCGTGCGCCTTGCTCCCCAAAAACGTGCTGGGTTCCTCTGAAAAAGTCTCATGTTGTTTTGCACGAGTCTGGGGGTCAAATCTGCGCCCCGCTCGACCCTGTGTGCTGTAGGCTTCCCTGGGGGAGGCTGAAGGAGACTCTTCCCGCAGGGTTTCTGCCCGAGCATCCCCTGGGCATCAGCGGCGCGCGCTGAAGCGTGGGGCAAAGCAGGGAGATCGCACGTGTCCGCGCGGGGCTCTGGCCGGTGATTTGCGCTCCTTGGCAATGGACGTGCGGCACAGGGACGAGCAGTAACCAGAGCTGCACTGCACCTGCGCTGGGCCTCCTGCTTTCGCTCTGATTTAATGTCCCAGTTGAGAGGTGATGTCATTTCGGAGGGAGCCAGGGAAAAGGAAGTGCTGGAGGAGATAAGGTGCTTTAACTCTACCCCTCCCGGCTTGGCCGGGTTTTGAAGCTGGGAGCTGTGTTAGCTGCCAGCCAGGAAAACATATGAGAGAGAAGGGAAGAGGTTGGTTGGAGGACACCTTCCTCTTGGGGCAGTGGGAGCTGACACCAGGAGCTGTGGAAATGGAGGGTGACGGAGGACCTTGGATGTTCCCAGGTGGTGTGAGCATGGTTTTGTGTGCTGCTCCATCACCTTCGCCTCCCAGACATGTGGGGTGGGTTGTCTGCAGCACCAGCCATACCCTGCCAGAGCCTGGGTGCCACACCACCAGCCAGGGAAGCACTCCAGGAGGGCCAGCAGAAATGCTGGCAAGGTGCTGGAGAAGGTAAATTGAGAATGTGCCAAGGCTGCCTTCCTTCCAAAGGGGAGAGAGACTGAATGGAAAGGTCATTACCAAAGGCTCATTAAAAGGTATTGTTTAGCTGTGGAGGTGGGCCAGGGATTCCCATGGTACTGAGTCAGAGACTTGGGCTTTCAGAAGGATCTCTTGGGGGCATCGTGCTCCCTCTGACAGTCAAAGGCGGTCAAGCCCCGAAGTCTTCTCTGCCCTTTGGGTGATGTCAAGCTGCATCTGCTCATTTGCATGACTGGGAAAACCTCAAGGGAGACTGGGCTGATACGACCCAAGGTCCTCTCCGTCGCCAAGCTGCTGCCCAGATGTCTTCAGCTGGAGCGGAGTGAGGTTGGGCCACCACTAGCCAGACCTGGCTCTGCCCTGGAGAATGGAGGAATGCAAAAACAAATCACGATCACCAGTGGCCTTATGCAACTGCGCAGGACGTGCAACAGCACTGGGGGTTTTCCAGCTTCCCGAGCTGCCTGCCATGCAGGCAGGGCAGCATTTGCTGCTCTGCTGAACTCGGTGCTCTTGCTGCTTGAGCTGGGGACTGGCTTTCAGGCAGGCTCACTCATATTTAGGCCATGCTTTTGACCGTGTCAGATGCCGTGGCAATAGCTCTGGTTGTCAGATGCTACCTACCGTGGCTGCAGCTGGGAGTTTTCTCTCAATTTCAGGCTTTGAGATGCTCAAGCTGGATATAACTGTCCCAGCAGCTTGGTGTGGTAAATTGGGTGCTGCTTGCTGTCACATTCAGTAAGGTCAGAGCACGAAAAGTGGCAATGGCCCACAGGTACTGATGTGCCGGTCCAGTCCAGTGTGGCAGAAATCATGGGCTCGGCACCCACACCATAATGTGTAAGTGTAGCCATTGCCACAAGGTTTGGGCTGATCTCCCCAACCTGGGGAGCTTTGCTCCTCGGTGGGCTTGCTTGTCATCATCCTGCCCTGGTGGGTTTTGCGGTCCGACAGTGACTCTGGTTGTCCTCAGAGTAGTAGGCAGCCAAGAAAAGGACTTTCTCTTCCTGTCGTTTGTCTGAAATAAGTTGTGAAGAGCAGGAGGGGGTGCGGGATGCCTCACGTGTGCGTTAATATCCAGCCGTGGCAGAAAAAAATCAGAGCTGGGTCTCCATTCCTTTCTCCATCTGTGTGGCACAGTCATCACAACATGTCTGCACTGGTTAGCGATGGATGGTGGCTTTTGGCTCCTTAAGGCTCTGTTCCCAGTGTTGCAGGGCTGTCATTGCTTTGTCCCCAGCCTGGGCCTCAGAGTGCCAGGTAATGATGGTCATGGTCTTGCTGGTATGAGCTCAGTGTCCTCATTTTCTCTGCAGGAGGCTTTGCCACCTTCTCATCCTGCTTCCCAGGGCTCTGTGAGGGGAAGCCAGCTGCCATCCTGCCGATGAGCATCTCCCAGCCATGTTTGCCTGTGGCCAATGTCGGCCCCACGCGCATCCTGCCGCATCTCTACCTGGGCTCCCAGAAAGACGTCCTGAACAAGGTATGGCCCTATCAGGGGCACACGTCTGCACTGTCCCATCTAGGATCCCAGCCATGCAGAGGAGTGAGTGCGTTAAGGACTCCTCTCCTGCCTGGTGGGAGGACCACGCGTGATCAGTCTGACCCTACCAGGAGGCTGAAGGCAAGGAGTGCATAGGCAGAGCTGAGCAGAACTGGAGAGGGTGGTCACAGGATGAGTCGTCTTATATTGATGAGCTTTGGGGTGGCCAAACTCTTCCCAAGTGCCCGTAGCAAACTCGAGGGCAGGCGGAGCACGGCTGGGAAAACACCTGGGCTTCTAGGGGGAGGGAGATGTGGGACCAGGAGCCAGCTTTGCCCCCACCTGCCTTGCCAGCCAGGCTGCCGGAGAACACCAATTTCAGCAGCCCTGCGATCCCCTTGGGAGCCAGAGAGGGTGGGAGCAAGCTGAGGTGTTCGGCCGCGGTGGCATGGGGACAGGCAGCTCTGGCTAGGCGCAGGGGCTTGTTCAGGAGGCCCAAAAACGACCGAAGTTTTGCTGTGGGGAGAGAGGAGAAAAGAGAGACAGAGCCCTTTTAAAGGTGCTGGAAGGGCTGTGCTGTGATCTCACGCCAGGGAAGGAATTTTGTTTAATGGAAAAATAACAGAGAGAAGAAAGAAAGAGGAATTGCAGTTAAAATGCTGCCGGGCGCCTGCCTACCGCGGGCAGGAGGGAGCCAGCTGGGTGTCCTTGCCCAGGGCAGGCGAGGGGGAAGAGGGACCACGATGCTGGAGGGGGGTTGGAGACAGAAAGGAGGGAGAGAGAAATTATATACAGGGAGTAGAAGGAAATGAAAGAGAAAAATGCCAAGAATGTGAGCCCAGGAGCTGGGCTGGCTCCGCCGAGCCGAGGCTGGGCTCTGCAGAGCCTGCTGGGGCGGGCAAGAACCGACTGCTGGAGAGCCAGGGCCGAAATCCCAGTGCGGTCTCCTGAGGAGCCAATGTCAGGCAGGGAAACTGATGGTTTCCTTCCCTCCCTGCCTCCTCAGAGGGTTTTGTTCATCTTCTGGAGCAGTGTTTTCTATCATCCCCACGATGCTGCCAAAAGATGCTCTATTCATAGGCAGCAGAGCAGGGTCAAGTGCGGAGGTTGTGCATGGGCAATGCTTCTCTTCTCCAGCACGCTGCAAGGAGGGATCCCACATGGCAGCTCCACGCACTCTGGCATGTGGAAAGACTCTTTTATCTCCGTGTTTTCTCCTCGTGTTTAATTCTGGGTCTTCCCTGGAATAGTGCAGACCAGGCACAGAGACCCAGCAGCTGGCACAGATGTTCCTTCATTTTTTGTAAGCAACCTG